GATATTAAAAAAAAAAAAAAAAAAAAAAAAAAAAAAGAGGTCTTTCGATAGGCAGAATCGGCGTGGCGACCAAATGCAAGGAAGGGGATTGATTGCCTTTGCTCCCCCGCCACTGGTTATGAGGATAAGCAACCAGCTAAAGTCTCAACCCACGGGGACCGAAGAAGAGGAATAAGATGAAGACGAAGAAGTAGAAGAAGAAGCAAAGAACAAGAAGAACGAGACCCCTAAATCAGAATTCGGGCTGTAACAAAACGGCGACTAAAGTTCTATGTTGACGATTTCTAGAGGCGGTGACGTTCTTGTATTTACTTTCGGTTGCCTTGACAGTACGTCACCGACACTTGATTGACCATTGGTTGTAAGGAATAAGCACCACCCTGGGTTATTAATTAGTAAAGTAGTACACCGCAGTAACTACATATGTATCTTAAGTATACTGTTACGGTATTTCAAGGGAGTAATAAAACGATGAATGAAGAACAAAAGCTCTTAGATGTATTACCAATATAGAATAAATCATTTGCACCAAGCAATAATTATAAAGAGTGATTCTGTTCTAAAAAATCTGGATGAGAGATGAGCAGTCAGGAATAAGTAGATATCACCATCTAAGTATTTCACAATGCAAGTAGAACATTTGTCATACATAACGGCAGCTCAGGAATTAGGTAGTTATGCATCGATTAAATAGTAGACCGGATTTAGAGTTTCATAGTTGACTTTAGGTTAACACATTCAATGGAAATAATTAGATGACGACCAATCGGCGCATCACGAGGTCTTCCCAGTCAAGGTTCATCGAACCCACCATCAGGGCAGTGTCTTCCATTTCCATTACAATTTCATTTCGTTTTTCCTCTGGCCATCTTCTTCGTTTTAATCTAACTACTCTAGGCGGGATGCTACATTAGTAACGAATTTGGGCTTTTCCTGTTCTGGCCTACCATTTCATTTGATACCATATTACCATTACCAGTAAATGACTGCCCTATCGTCGACGGTAGAAAAGACACTCATTGAATACACCCCAACTCGCTGTATCATACCTCTCACACTGGTATTAAACTCTCAACCATCCCTTTGCGGGCCAGGAATCGCAACCATGTTCTTATAGCTGGCCCGTAATCGTACCTCCTCCCCGCCGCATAGTCGTCATCCGCGCGCTGGGTTTGCTGCTCGTCCCGAATCGCTGCTTGCAACACCTGCTGTTCATTGCACAGCTTCTGTTGCAACTCGACGATTTCTTGCGCGGACAACAAATTGTACCTCTCCAATACCACCGGAACAATTGCCTGGTCGATAGACTCCCTTGTTATATCAAAGGACTTTTCCGGCCCCAGAATAGTGTTTTCAAGGATAGAGCTTGCAAGGGGCAATTCTGGGTGGGCCACTGCAGAAGCTTGGGTAGTTAAACGCTGATTAAGCATCTCCAGACACTTTATATTGACGGCTAGTTTACCAATAAGGTCTACAAGCGGGTCCCTAACGAGACTGAGGATTGAGAATTCAATCTGATCTTCTTCATATTCAGTCATCCTGGTGATAAGGTGCGGTTTTACCATGCCCAACCAATCCTCATTGGGGGTACAGGGTCCTGTGACTCACGTCAGCGATTTGTTCCGTAGGCTTCTCATGCCGTCCTTCACGTACCCAGTGCCTGGGGCTGGCGTTCCAGGCCATCGAACTTCCAGACTTTCCCCAACGCAGGGACATACGCGATAAAGTGGAACCCTGCGTCTATTTCAGTTTCATCGTGATTGCCCTTACTTGAACGAGAACACCTAGATGTCGCCTCATGTTTTAGTTGAAAATCTGAATTGAGCATATCCATCTTCCTATACTTAAGGTCAGATACACCCCTCGTGGCGAAAAGAAACGATGAAAGGCTTGTTAGCGAAATCCAACCTTGCAAATGAATTATGTATTCGTTTGACAAAATCATAATTACTGATCGCATCTCCTCTAAGCGCAGGAGTAAACGGCATCGTAAAGTCCTTGAAATGCTGTAGGTTATCCCCGAGCTCGATGCCCTCTATATTATTGACGATGTTTAGTAGGGCCACACTAGCGCAAGCATTGCTGGCGGTCTAATTTAAAACTATCAGCAACGAATTCTTCAGTAGTGTTAGAGAAAGGCTGGAGGCAATGAGTCAAACCGACCTGATTTGCAAACCAAAGCCCTTCTGGGCAGCTCGCTTCTTGCTTTTCGGGGTCATCTTCCCGCCAACGAAACAGGAAGATCAAACCATAAACAGGCTTGCTATGCGGCCAAAGATGCTTCGGTTAGTAGAAAACGGCGACCATGCTCAATATTCCTTACTTTAAGAATGCCATCATCTCTTCATCTAGTGATACAACTTCTTGCACTTTGACACCTTTCACCCCGAACTCTCGCAGCATCACATTAAAAAGAGCCTTATAGAGGGTTAGCACAAACAGGGAAACCGATTACCAATAATAGCAATTACAGGCTCAGACTCCAGCTCACAAAAGCCATTCCAGCTTTCCTTCTCCTGTGCGGTTGCTGGCCGACATGGGTCGTTAGCGGCGTTATCTAAGTGGTTGGTCATGGTTGGCTGACTATTCAACCGTCGTCGTTTAAAACCCAAAGCCATCCGTGTCATCAATGTCCTCGAGAGTATTGAGATGCAGAGATTCGAGAGATCGTAGATGCAATGCAAATATGAAGGACTAGGGTCTGGTATATGTTAGATATATTACCATCAAGTAGGCTAGGTTATCGTAAAAGAAGCGTTACTATACTGCCCGCCGTCATAAATGAGGGGCGGTTAAGGAGAGAACTTAGGTCATGAAGGGATCAAGACGACTAGATAGCTAAAGGGTAAGACGATATAAACCAACAACCAATGGCGCCAAAACAGAAAAAGGAAGAGAAAAGGAAGGGGGCTGGTGCTTGTAAATCCTGAGAACACTACCGAGGACAACGTGCGTCTATAGCTGACAGGTTAAAGTCGTGAAGTACTTCAAGTTAGCATTTGATAGGTATGTACTACTAAAGCGTTGCTACCCATAAGCTGGCCTGACCGCCCATACCGGTGGTTCCGTTTCCCCATTGGCTGAAGCTACCTCGCACGCGACTCCACGCGTTGAAGATTATTGTCGGACCTGCGTCCTTGCACAGTGATCTTTTTTTCCCCCTTCTGCTTTCTCTTTTTATTTGCGCTTTAGCCGACTTAGCCTTTCAAGTCGGTTTTGAGATCGATTTTCAGTGGGTGGCGACAGGTAAAAAAAGGTCTTTGTACGGTATCTGTACCTAACACAAGGTATCACAAGAGTGCAAGGACCTTCCAGACCGGCTAAAAGATAGAGGACCTCTTTTCTACTGAAGGTACGCTTGTATCGGCGCTTAGACCTATAATAGTGAAGAGTAGTTTGTTATTTTGTGCATTCCCAGATATGCTGACTGATTGTATAGGTGATATCAGTAGACCGTGGGTGCCCCGCGATCACAGCATGCCATGAATGACACTCCTCGACTTCGGTCTGCTTTCCCTCAGACTCCCCAGACGTCGCAGAAATCGCGAGCCTTCTACACCTCTCCTTCTAAATCCAAGCAGCGTGATACAGGACTGCGACAGTCCTCAAAGGCATCGCCGACAGCCCAAGATGCGACTTTGCCACTTATCCCAGTTGAGCTGATAGATGCACCATCTCAACGACTCTATATAGTGGCTTTTTATGTCGCGCTCAATGCTTGGCGGCTTTATGAATCTTGGAAAGCCTCGGATGATTTAGATGCAACCTGGCTATTTCTGAAGTGGGCTTGTATTGATGGAGTGTTCCTTTTTGGGCTTCAGGCCTTGCGCATACCCTGGCTAGAATGGGCTTTTCCTACAACCCTTGCAATTTTCCTGATACATGTCGTCGGCAATGTATTCCTCATGTTTCGGATTCCGGTGTGTGGAGGCCCCTCCCATAACAATGGTCAGACTAACTAACGTTGACTAGATCCCAATTGGTGCCTGGGTATCAGGAATAGTCAAATTAGCCTACGATAGAGAGTTGTCGATATCAGAACGGAGTGTTAAGCCAGGTGATATCATTCATAATGCCTCACTCATACTGGGAAAACAAATAGTTCATATACTGCCTGAAGGGTGCGATTCCCGCAAATTTTTGCTTTTCAGTCCAAAGTACTAATGATCTTAGATCTGCCGTGCTGAATCCAGACCAGACACCTCTCTGTATAGATTCAGAGAAAACCGCTGTCAATTTGCCCATTCGAATCAACCAGACCGACCCTATCTTGATAGAGCTATTCCGCTTGGATTTTACTAGCGGCGGCAATGAAACGATAACGATATCTTCAAAGCAGCTGAAGCAGATGAAACGCCAGGCAGGCAAGAATCACCATGGTTCTGACACTGATTTGCACCGTGATCTTCTACTTCCGATTCGGCGGCCAGGTATATACCGTCTCCAAAGGGTAATAGATGAGTCCAATCTTGACGTTCGTATGCGAAGGTCAGATGCACTTGTTGTATCATGTCCTCGGGCATCAATTAAAAGTTCCCACACCCATAAGTGTAGAGGCGAGCTGTCTAATTTGGTCCTGACGGTCGAGGGCACACCGCCGCTGAAGATCAAGTACAGCAGACAAATAAATCGTCGTGACCGGGGCTTCTCTTTTCAAAATATCCAACCAGATTACTTACGGTCACCGTTACTGGGTCAGAGGAATATTGGCACCCTTTTTAGTTCGCCAGAGCCAGACGTTGCTTGGGCCCAGAGCCAAATCATTGAAGTACCGTTGAACGAGTCACTGAACCTCGGTGGGAAGTGGCTTTATGCGATTGAAGAAGTACATGATGGCTGTGGTAACGTTGCCAATTATACAGCATTTTTGGAAGAGGTCGATCGACTACCCACAAAATCCTTGTCCCAATGGCATCAGTTCTCTGTCCATGAAAGACCCCGGTTATCTTTGTCTGGATGCAATGACCAGCATTTCATAGAAGTTGCACGAGGGGACAGTGTGGATCTACCTGTCAAGTTTCACCAGTCGGGTCAAGGGTATGACGAAGATGGGCCTTTTTCTATCATATATTCTTTCAACAACGATCACGACACTGCTGGCGATATGCCTGGTAAAGTCCGAGAGCTGTCTTTGAAGAGTCTGAGCCAAAAACCTCAAATAAGAGATCCAGGGTGGTATGTTTTGGACGCTATTTCTAGCCAATTCTGCTCGGGCGAAATTTTGGAACCATCGTCCTGTTATTTACATAACCCTCCCGAACCTGAGCTGGCTATCAAGTATGAAAAGATTTTTGACAAATGCGCAAACAACCCGGTCGGCCTGTTGGTCGATTTAGATTTGACTGGATCCCCACCGTTCCGGCTCCGGTACGTCGTTGAACATTCCAAAGGCATTGAGACCAAGACTCAGTTGATTGAGGGGTTGCGGACTCAGCTGGACCTCACTCCGTCTGAAGCGGGTTTCTACCGCTATCGCTTCTTAGATATCGCAGACACAGTGTACGCTCCGCGACCTCTCAAAGATAAAGCCCCCGTTCTGGAGCAACACGTTAAGCCTCCTGCTTCTGCTCATTTCCTTGGGTCTAGAGAGGTGCGGAAGGCTTGCTTCGGTGAACCTGTGTCTGTGGATGTAGCCTTGCTTGGTGAAGCGCCATGGACTTTGCAGTACGAACTTGTTCATAATGGCAAGAAAACCAAGTACGTTTTGGAAACAGAGAGGGAGGTGTCGAGCATCGTGACCGAAAAGCTCGTCAATGGCGGCGAATACAACCTTGTGTTAACGAGTGTCAAAGACCGGTCAAACTGCAAACGAATTCTGAAGGATAGTATCCAGATCGACGCTCGACCAAAACCGCCACAAGTATCTTTCGGGGAGATCGAGAAAAGTAGGAAATATTCTGCCTTGCAGGGCTCTAAAGTCGATATTCCCCTCAGGTTGAGCGGTGAGCGACCATGGACTTTGAAGTACAAAACAAGCTATGATTCTCTAGTTGTTGAGAAGACATTCTGGCAGGAGAACAGCGCTTTGGCTGTGGGACACGAGGGGCGTTATGAACTCCTCGGAGTGACTGATGCTTCCTGTCCTGGATCTGTTGACCAAGCTGCTAAGGTATTTGAGATTTCCTGGATACCTCGCCCGCGGATTACTGCCGTGGACGGTTCTCCGATAGGAGCAGGCGGGCACAAAGAGAAACGCGATGTTTGCCAAGGACAAAATGACAATCTCGAGCTTCGATTGTCAGGTAATCCGCCATACAGTATAAAATACGAACAACAACGCAAGATTACTCGTGGTTCGCCATCTGTCCGACTGCAAAATCTGAGGACAGTTCTTCATGCGGCTTCCATGGAAATGGATACCTCGGAGGCTGGACTGTACACGTATACATTTACGGAAATCGGTGACAATCTCTACGACCATGATCCCAGAAGCAACCCGGTGGTTGTGACGCAGAAGGTGAACCCTTTGCCATCGGCGCGATTTGATGCTCCTGGCCGTATCTACGGTTTCTGCAAGGAGGATGTCAGCGGCGAAGAATTGATTCCCATCACTTTGGATGGCGTCCCGCCATTCTCCCTTGAAATATCCATAAAACATCATTCGAAAGCAAAGCCGGAACTTGTGTCAATCTCGAATATCATTGCAAATAGACACATGCTTCCCATACCACGGCGTCATCTGGACCTAGGCCAGCATGTCATCAGCATTCACAAGGTCAGAGACGCACGTGGATGCCAGCGGGCCACTGAATATGGCGCCTCATCTGTGAGGGTTGCAGTCTCCGACGTGCCTACCATAATACCTCTCGAATCCAAGGCCGACTATTGTGTTGGTGAACGGCTTTCTTTCTCGCTTTCAGGACATGCACCATTTGAGGTATTCTATACTTTTAATGGAGTTGCCAGAAAAGCTACTTCCAGGACAACAACTTTCCGTCGCATCGCGGAGAGACCTGGTGAATTCACCATCACCGCTCTAAGCGATGGTGCCAGTGGCAAATGCAAAGCGCACAAAAACGTAACGAAAACCATCCACGAGATGCCAAGTGTTAGAATCAGCAGAGGCCAGACATCTATTGTTGATATACACGAAGGTGGAGAAGCAGAACTTCAGTTCGAGTTCTGGGGGACGCCACCGTTTGAGTTCACGTGCGTTTTGTCCCTACCCTTTTTTATCTACCACCAAGCATCTGAGTACTAATTATCTTGTAGATATATCCGTAGCTCAATCGCCCGCAGGGGGAAGAAAGCGGAAATACTTGACATTAAGCATGACATATCTTACGAACATATCAAGACCATTAAAACCTCGGACGAAGGAACTTACGAGGTTGTGGCAATTAAGGACAAGTTTTGCTCAGTTTCATCTCAGACACATTTAGAGAAGTCTGAGAAACCAACTGGGCCATAGGTTAAAAGCAAAGAACGATACGTGGTGTAATATTAAATGCTACAGGCGTCTCTGTTTCCATATTTTACGTTTTGTTTCATCCCTCTGTATGTTCGTGCGTACTCTTCCCCTTGCCGCTGCTTGTTTAGATCTCGAATGCTTGCATTGCAAAGACGCTCTTAATATTGTACACATGAGAATATACCGCCAATTTATGAGCTCTACTCA